AGTTCCCCAGAAACCTCGCACCAGGGCTTATCTCAAGGGATGGAACTGGCCGCTGATGATTTTTCTAGACCGTGGCATGTGGCTCTGTCTCAGTGGGCATGGTACATTCGTGATCTATCTGGATTCCTGTCATAACACGGTTTTGCTGGGTTTCTGTGTCCTGTCACATCCCATCAATTCACTGCCCATTGCTTTCACTCTTCAGCAACAAAGGAATCTTTTTTTTTTTTTACTTTATTTATTTATGTTTATTTTATTTTTTTATTTTTTTCTTGAGACGGAGTCTTGCTCTGTCTCCCAGGCTGGAGTTCACTGGCGTGATCTCCACTCACTGCAAGCTTTGCCTCCCAGGTTCATGTCATTCTCCTGCCTCAGCCTCCCAAGTAGCTGGGACTACAGGGGCCCACCACCACGCTGGGCTAATTTTTTCTATTTTTAGTAGAGATGGGATTTCACCATGTTGGCCAGGATAGTCTAGATCTCCTGACCTCATGATCCACCTGCCTCGGCCTCCCAAAGTGCTGGGATTACAGGCGTGAGCCACCGCGCCTGGCCAAAGGAATCTATCTTTAGTTTGGGTCCTTGATTAGACACACACCCACAATTTTCTCATTATGTAAAATATATACCAAAGGATGTATATTCTCTTTTTTTTTTTTTTTTTTTTTTTGAGACGGAGTCTGGCTCTGTCGCCCAGGCTGGAGTGCAGTGGCCAGATCTCCGCTCACTGCAAGCTCCGCCTCCCGGGTTCGCGCAATTCTCCTGCCTCAGCCTCCCAAGCAGCTGGGACTACAGGCGCCCGCCACCTCGCCCGGCTTATTTTTTTTTGTATTTTTAGTAGAGACGGGGTTTCACCATGTTAGCCAGGATGGTCTCGATCTCCTGACCTCGTGATCCGCCCGTCTCAGCCTCCCAAAGTGCTGGGATTACAGGCTTGAGCCACCGTGCCCGGCCAAGGATGTATATTCTCAAAGTATTGTGAATGAATCTTTTTTTCTTTACTTGAATCCCAGTTTAAATGCACTAGGGATGGCCAGGCAAGGTGGCTTACGCCTGTAATCCCAACACTTTGGGAGGCCAAGGCGGGTGGATCATGAGGTCAGGAGTTCGAGACCAGCCTGGCCAACATGGTGAAACCCCATCTCTACTAAAAACACAAAAATTAGCCGGTTGTGGTGGGCACTTGTAATCCCAGCTACTCGGGAGGCTGAAGCAGGAGAATCACTTGAACCCAGGAGGCGGAGGTTGCAGTGAGCCTAGATCATGCCACTGCATTCCAGCCTGGGGAACAGAGTGAGACTATGTCTCATAAATAAATAAATAAATAAATATAAATAAATACACTAGGGATATTAGCAAGGTACCCTTTTGGTATACAATCACTCCCTCTTGGCCGGGCGCGGTGGCTCAAGCCTGTAATCCTAGCACTTTGGGAGGCCGAGACGGGCGGATCACGAGGTCAGGAGATCGAGACCATCCTGGCTAACACGGTGAAACCCCGTCTCTACTAAAAATACAAGAAAATTAGCCGGGCGAGGTGGCAGGCGCCTGTAGTCCCAGCTACTCGGGAGGCTGAGGCAGGAGAATGGCGTGAACCCGGGGGGGCGGAGCTTGCAGTGAGCCGAGATCGCGCCACTGCACTCCAGCCTGGGGCACAGAGCAAGACTCCGTCTCAAAAAAAAAAAAAAGAATCACTCCCTCTTTGTTTTAATACAAAATGTCACAGATTAAATTTGGTTGATGAAGTACATACATATTCTCACTTTCTGTTATCTCTACTGATAGATGATTAATGCAAAATATTGAGTAATTTTTAAAAATCAATACTTAATTTTTTAGAAATAACTAGAGGTTTAACTCTGACATAAATACCCATAGTTCCTGGGCCTACTTCTGTCAGAGGGTAATCTATAAATAATTCACAGAGCTGACATTACTCACTGTAGTGTGATCATTCTTTTCTGGAAAATTTTAGCAGCGGTTCTAATATAGATTGCCAGTTATCAGTAGTTGGCAATGCAAGTCCACTTTTAATTATGCACACGCTGATTATTCAGACTACAAATTGTCCTTGCCCTGGCCGGCTCCTTCCTGCCACCTGCCTTTTAGCATTTTCACTGCTCGTTAGCACATACACCAGAAGGTGGGCATTGAACAAGGCGGAGAAGAAGAAACAAAATCAGTGAAGCACTTCGGAGAAGCTCTGATGAGAGATTTTAATACAATTTGTAGAATTTTTTTTTTTTTTTTTTTTTGAGACAGAGTCTCGCTCTGTCACCCAGGCTGGAGTGCAGTGGCCTGATCTCAGCTCACTGCAAGCTCCGCCTCCTGGGTTCACGCCATTCTCCTGCCTCAGCCTCCCGAGTAGCTGGGACCACAGGCGCCCGCCACCTCGCCCGGCTAGTTTTTTGTAGTTTTTGGTAGAGACGGGGTTTCACTGTGTTAGCCAGGATGGTCTTGATCTCCTGACCTTGTGATCCACCCGTCTCGGCCTCCCAAAGTGCTGGGATTACAGGCTTGAGCCACCGCGCCCGGCCAATTTGTAGAATTATTAACTAGAATTGAGTCATTTGGATTCCCTGTGAAATGTATTTACTTGTTCTATTCTTGTTCTCCTTAGCAACAGATAGTAGACTTGCCTCCAGAGAGACAACATTATTCCTATTATTCCTACATTTAGTGTTTTCCTTTATAAAACTTATTTTTTTTTTTGGAGACAGAGTCTCACTCTGTCGCCCAGGCTGGAATGCTGCGGTGCGATCTTGGCTCACTGCAACCTTTGCCTCCCAGTTTCAAGTGATTCTCCAGCTTCAGCCTCCCGAGTAGCAGGGATTACTGGTGCGCGCTGCAACCTTTGCCTCCCAGTTTCAAGTGATTCTCCAGCTTCAGCCTCCCGAGTAGCAGGGATTACTGGTGCGCGCCACCATGCTCAGCTAAGTTTTTATATTCTTAGTAGAGACGAGGTTTCACCATGTTGGCCAGACTTGTCTCAAACTCCTGACCTCAAGTGATCCGCCTGCCTCGTTATCCCAAAGTGCTGGGATTACAGGCATGAGCCATGCACCCAGCCTATAAAACATTTTCATGTGATGGTTCATAATATTTTCTTTATCCATTACATTTATACCTAGACTATTTATTTCTTTGGTGAATTTTTTTGTTTTGTGAGACAGAGTTTTGCTCTGTTACCCAGGCTGGAGTGCAGTGGTGTGATCTTGGCTCACTGCAACCTCTGCCTCCTGGATTCAAGCAATTCTTATACCTAAGCCACCAGAGTAGCGGGGACTACAGGCGTACGCCACCATGCCCAGCTAATTTTTGTATTTTTAGTACAGACAGGGTTTTGCCATTTTGGCCAGGCTACTCTCAAACTTCTGACCTGAGGTGATCCGCCCAACTCTGCCTCCCAAAGTGCTGGGATTACAGGCATGAGCCACGGTGCCCACCCTGGTGAGTGGTTTTTTTGAGATTCCTGGCATGTGTTCGGTGATATCACAATTATTTGATGCTTTTTCCAGTTTTCCAGAAAACTGAATGTTTCCTCTTAGATACTAGTATCTTTTATCTTCCAACCTGTTTTGTTGGAAACATAATTTGCCTCATGCTTAAACTGAGGCTACTGAACATAATTGAAGCATTTCTGTATGCCCAAGATTATCTTTACTGTACATACTCCTAGGACAGATGGCTTTGACAAAAACTGGCACAGGTAGAGCCTCTGGCTAAGTGAAACGGTACAAGTGGACTTTTAAAATGCTAATTAGCCACCATGTTTTCTCAAATGAACAAACTTTTTCTTTCTTTTTTTTTTTTTTTTTTGGAGACAGGGTCTCACTGTGTTGCCCAGGCTGGAGTGCAGTGGCGCGATCTCGGCTCACTGTAACCACCACCTCCCGGGTTCAAGCAATTCTCCTGCCTCAGCCTCCCGAGTAGCTGGGACTACGGGTGCCCGCCACCACGCCCGGCTAATTTTTTGTGTTTTTGGTAGAGACGGGGTTTCACCATGTTAGCCAGGATGGTCTCGATCTCCTGACCTTGTGATCTGCCTGCCTCGGCCTCCCAAAGTGCTGAGATTACAGGCGTGAGCCACTGCACCCGGCCAAAATGAACAAAATTTTAAAGTAAACTACTATGGGCTTGAAAAGACCAAAAAAGAAAAAGATAATAAATTTTACAAATATGGTAAAACTTTTTTTAAATATTTATTTTTTATTTTTATTTTTTTATGTGTGTGGTTTTTTTTTTTTTTCCAGACAGGGCCTGTTGTCACCCAGGCTGGAGTGCAATTGTGCGATAATGGCTCACTGCAGCCTCACACTCCAGGGCTCAGTTGATCCTCCCGCCTCAGCCTCCTGAGTAGCTGGGACTACAGATATGCACCAGTGTGGCTGGCTAATTTTTTTAATTTTTTTTTTTTTTAGAGACCAAATCTAGCTGTGTTGTCCAGGCTGGCCTTGAACTCCTGGGCTCAAGCAATCCTTCTGCCTGAGCCTCGGGGTTACAGGCAGGAGCCCCGGTGCCTGGCCTGCTTAAATATATAAAGTTCAGGTTAGTAACTAGGTCGCTTGTTCTATTAACCAGCCAAATACCAGATAAACAAAAGCCTTTGGGCTCTAAAAGTCTTTGGGAAGTCACCTCGACAGGGGCTCTGGTTTCTGTGTTCTCCCTCAGGAACATCATGAAACTAGAACGCTCCCTACTCTTCATTCTTTTTTTATTGCTTTTCTATAAGTTCTCATCTTTGGCTATTTCGTGGTGTAGAGACACAGTCGTTAGGTTCCAGGACTCCAGTGGACTTGGTGTGGTTCATCCACTTTGCTTCCTGGGGACCGGAGCTTGCCATGAGTCATGTTCCATCTGATTTACATTGGATCCGGCTGTGGTGCCATGACTCACATGGGCTGCAGGCCTAGCTGCCCGGCTCATCTTCTGAGGCATAGACGGCGGGGCCAGGGCTCATGTCCTGACACCTTTTTCCTTCTTTCCTCTTGCCCTGTCAGGATCTAAAGGGAGCATCGTTACTGACAGCAGGCAGGTGCGCCTTGCCACAGGCATCTTCCCCGTTATCAGCCTCCTGAACCACTCCTGCAGCCCCAACACCAGCGTGTCCTTCATTAGCACTGTCGCCACCATCCGCGCATCACAGCGGATTGGAAAGGGGCAAGAGATTCTCCACTGCTATGGTGAGCCATCCCTCTGCACTGCTGTCCCGCCCCGACAGAAAAGGACAGGGGGACGCGAGTCAGCAAGCCCCCGGGCGTGTGACTTCACCTGTCTACTGTCTGCTTCCTGGAAGAGGCGGTGAACACTCAGGCCTAAAACAAGGAAGGGAGGGAGGGAGGGAGGAAGGGAGGGAGGAAGGGAGGGAGGGAGGGAGGGAGGGAGGGAGGAAGGGAGGGAGGGCCTTCGTACTAGGGCTCTCTTGTGGCTAAACTATGTCTTGCTCTGTTTAATCACTATGTATTTCCTGTTCTGAAAATGGGCTGGTAACAACTTCTTGGCTTCTGTTTCTTCCTGTCTCAGCAGCTTGGAAGCTTATTTTAGTATCCAGTTCCACAAATGTCTGAGTAAAGGTTAGCTGTCACATGATAAGTAATTGTCCAGACCCTCCGCTAAGCTGAAGGTTTTTAAGTCGTGTTTGACTGTCTCTTGCTTTCAACATTGGCTGAGGGTGATCTCCCTCCAGGGCCTCACAAGAGCCGGATGGGGGTTGCCGAAAGGCAGCAGAAGCTGAGGTCTCAGTATTTCTTTGACTGCACCTGTCCAGCTTGTCAGACTGAGGCACACAGGATGGCTGCAGGCCCCAGGTGGAAAGCATTCTGTTGCAACAGTTGCAGAGCTCCCATGCAGGTAATTCTCTCCTCTCCCCTCTACTTTTCCCGGAGGTCAGTTTTCCAGCCCGAGGGTGATCAGTGTTTGGGAGGAAGCCGCCTCCGTTGTAGCCAGTCATCCTCCATTGTAGCCAGTCAGCCGCATACACTGCTTCCCCTCCACAGAAACTACAGGGAAAGGTTCCGTTTAATGTTTCTCTTATAAAGGACAGAAAATCCCTTCTGAACTGGTGTGGGATTTGGGGGAGACTGGGAATCTATTTGCTTAAGTAAGTCATTGAAAAGTCCCAGGATAGGCCAGACACAGTGACACTTGCCTATTATCCCAGCACTTTGGGAGGCTGAGGTGGGGAGATCACTTGGAGGCCAGGAGTTCGAGACCAGCCTGGGCAACATAGCAAGACCCTGTCTCTACCAAAAAAAATTTCAAGAAAAAAATTCCAGGATAAGTCTACTTAAGGTACAGCTTGGGCCGGGCGCGGTGGCTCAAGCCTGTAATCCCAGCACTTTGGGAGGCCAAGACGGGCGGATCACGAGGTCAGGAGATCGAGACCATCCTGGCTAACACGGTGAAACCCCGTCTCTACTAAAAAAAATACAAAAAAAAAAACTAGCCGGGCAAGGTGGCGGGCGCCTGTAGTCCCAGCTACTCGGGAGGCTGAGGCAGGAGAATGGCGTGAACCCAGGAGGCGGAGCTTGCAGTGAGCTGAGATCCAGCCACTGCACTCCAGCCTGGGCGACAGAGCGAGACTCCGTCTCAAAAAAAAAAAAAAAAACAAAAAAAACAAAGGTACAGCTTGATCCAGGGGCTTTCTGTCCACCCCTCTCAGCTTCATTTTCTCTGTGGTGGCCCATCCTCACACAGACTTCCCTGTAATGGTGCAGGAGAGCTGCCAGCAGCCTGCGGACCTCCTGCCAAGGAGGATAAGAGCACACACCGCTCTAACAGCAGCCTGGGCAAAGATGCTACTGAGTTTCATTGACCTGAGAACTGTGGCGACATAGTTTTCCTCCAGCCATTTGGGCCAGAGAAAGGAGCTATATGTGAGCCACATGCCACACCCTCAGCTGTAGGGCACCAGCCGTGGGACTGAGGGTGAGAGGGATCCTCATGAGAAACTGGGCTGCTGTTGCTAAATGAGAAAATAGATATTGGCCTTTGAAACACAGCAGCTGTCTACCTCAGAGGATTTCCCCTCTGCCAGAGGTGCCGTATTCTTAGGAGAGTCGTGAGTGAAACGCAGAGCTGGTTGTGTTAGAAAGCTAAACTTGCAGACCTGAGGTCAAATGTAGGGCGATCACACCTAGCACCTTTTTCTGTTGGTTTTCATTTTTTTTTTTTTCCCTAAGATGGGGTCTCACCCTATCACCCAGGCTGCAGTGCAGTGGCATGATCTCCGCTTACCACAGCCTCAACCTCCCAGATTCAAGCAATTCTCCTGCCTCAGCCTCCCCAGTAGCTGGGATTACAGGCATACGCCACCACGCCCAGCTAATTTTTGTATTTTTAGTAGAGATGGGTTGGCCATGTTCTCCGTGTTGGCCAGGCTGGTCTCAATCTCCTGGCCTCAAGAGACCCACCCGCCTCGGCCTCCCAAAGCGCTGGGATTACAGGCATGAGCCACTGCGCCCGGCCTTTCTATTGGTTTTCTTTTCTTTTTTTTTTTTTTGTGAGACTGAGTGTCGCTCTGTCACCCAGGCTGGAGTGCAGTGGTGCTATCTCAGCTCACTGCAAGCTCCGCCTCCCGGATTCATGCCATTCTCCGACCTCAGCCTCCCGAGTAGCTGGGACTACAGGCACCCGCAACCTCCACGGCCTGCTAATTTTTTATATTTTTAGTAGAGACGGGGTTCACTGTGTTAGCCAGGATGGTCTCGATCTCCTGACCTCATGTTCCACCCACCTCAGCCTCCCAAAGTGCTGGGATTACAGGCGTGAGCCACCGCGCCCGGCCTTTCTATTGGTTTTCTTGGGACTTTTTCATAACCACTAGAAATGTTCGTCATCTAAAGTCCTGGCCCCAAAAAGCGACGAGAGGGGCTGTAGAAATGGAAAGAAATGGTGCACTATCCCCGTTCTGTTCCAAGAATGAAACCTCAGGTGGGATCAGCTCCTGCCTTCATTGGAACTGCCGCCATCAAACTAAATTCTATCAGGCTTTGGTCATGATGTGCTATTACAGGCGTCTCTTTCCTCCATGAGGTAAGAAACTGTGCAGCAATCCTATAATGTGAGCACAGGCAACGTTGATAACCGCCCCGGGCGTTGGAATAAAGAGAAAACTGACTTCCACAGGGAGATGGCGTGCTGCGCTGTGGCAACAGATCTTGTGCAGAATCCGTCGTCAGCAGAGATCACCTAGTCTCTCGGTTACAGGACCTTCAGCAGCAGGTCGGAGTGGCCCAGAAGCTTCTCAGAGATGGTGAACTAGGTGAGACTGGCTCCCCGCTTTGGTCCTCCAGCCCCTTCCCTTTTATTCATTCTGATACCATTTTGGACTCAAGGATACTCAGTACTGATGGAAAAATTGAATGTCATTATCCCCATGCCAGCCACAAGATGGCTATATAGGCCAGTGAGACCAAACCCTGACCAGCCCTGTTACTGTGGGGCCCTTGAAAAGGGGCCAGGTGATTTCAGCTGTTGTTTTCTTCTGCATCCGATTGCTAAGTTGAAGTACCCCTGCCAGCGAACGGGTCATCACTGACATCCGTGAGCTTTGTGCAGTTCCAGAAGTTCAGTGTCATTTATTTTAATTCCAGTGCCTAGCAGCGTAACTTCCTAGAAGGGCGGTTCTGCCCTCCTCAGAGCTGGTCTGTGCTGGGGAGCAGTGGGGCGAGAGCCCAGCTGATAGGAGTGTCTTGCTCTTTTCAGAAGGAGAGTTGTGGAGCTCCCCATCGCCCTTGAAAACCCTGCCTTAGAGCTTGACGCCATGGGATTGTGTTTACCCTGCTTTATGAAAGTTGACCTTTAGCTTAGATTTCAGGGTCAAGAGAAGTCATGGTCGTACGTGGAAGGTAGAGTTGGTCGAGTTGGCAAGTTGATGTTGAAAACCCAGGGTAAAATGTGGGAAGGCCTCCCCTAGCGCCTTTCTCCACTGACAGAGAAAACATAAGAGAACAGCAGCTTTATTGGAACAGACACTGTGGGTTGGTGACAACCCAGGGAGGCCGAGGGGAATGTCCACATTCAGCCCAGCTGATTCAGAGAATTTGAGACCTGGGTTCTCATTTCTAGGACTGAGCTTATGTCTGTAGTGAGGCCTCTTTCCTCTGAATTGACAGAGCGAGCCGTTCAGCTGCTGTCGGGGTGCCAGCGTGATGCCGAGAGCTTCCTGTGGGCAGAACACGCCATGGTGGGAGAGATCGCGGACGGCCTGGCCCGGGCCTGTGCTGCGTTAGGTACGGCGTCGGCCTTCATGTTCTGAGTCAGGAACAGTCTGCTGTGGGTGTTTCATCGTGGCCCCGGCCTTGTCTGCCTGGTTACCCCAACTCTGTAAACGGACGCCACTCCCCCTCTCATTCCGTTTTCTCACCCCAAAAATGTGCATCCACAGTTGACTGTGGTTCTTTTCTGGAACAAGACTTTTCTCTTCTCACAGGGGACTGGCAAAAGTCAGCCACCCACCTACAGAAGAGTCTCCGCGTGGTGGAGGTTCGCCACGGGCCGTCCAGCGTTGAAATGGGCCATGAGCTCTTCAAACTGGCCCAGATCTTCTTCAATGGGTGAGTCCTCTTCCCACCTCACAGGGCACACACTGTTCTTTTCCTAGGCTCTTCTGGGTGTTACTTTTTTTCTATGGTGTTTTTAAAAGCATGTTGAAACTTCTTTATTTCTTCTTTAGGAGAGAGCTTTGCCTTCTGTTTTTCTAACAAACTTAACGCTTTAGAATTTCCTCCCAGGAGGCGGAGCTTGCAGTGAGCCGAGATTGCGCCACTGCACTCCAGCCTGGGTGACAGAGCGAGACTCTGTCTCAAAAAAAAAGAATTTCCTCCTGGGAGATATGGGGAAAGCTTTTAGATCTCAAGTGAATTTCCCAGAGAGAACTTGGCCAGGCAGCCCCACCCACCCTCCAGATAGTGTTCCTTCCCGTTTCTCTCGGGTTCATCACAGCCCCCTTGGCTGTCTCATTCCCAGCACTCTCAACTCCAGGCTCTCTGCCTTCTCCCTCCTCTGCATCCTGTTCCTTGTAAAGCATTTGCTTGAACCAGGGAATCAGGGCTGATTTTACCCCCAGACAACATGTGGCACTGCCTGGAGACTTTTTTTTTTTTTTTTTTTGAGAAGGGGTCTTGCTGTCTTGCCCAGGCTGGAGTGCAGTGGCACGATCACAGCTCACTGCTTCCTCAAACTCCTGGGCTCAGGCGATCTCTGGAGACGTTTTTGATTGTCATGACTTGGAAGGGGGGTGCTACTGGCGTCTAGTGGAAAGAGGCCAGAGGTGCTGCTAAGCATCCTGCCGTGTACCGGACAGTGCACCCCACCAGCCCCAGCAAAGAAGGATTCAGCCCACAGTGTCAATAGTATCAGGGTTGAGAAACCCTGCTTTTTTGTTGTTGTTGTTATTTTTGAGATGGAGTTTCACTCTCGTTGCCCAGGCTGGAGTGCAATGGCGCGATCTTGGCTCACCACAACCTCCGCCTCCCAGATTCAAGTGATACTCCTGCCTCAGCCTCCCGAGTAGCTGGATTAGAGGCATGCACCACCACGCCCGGCTAATTTTATATTTTTTAATAGAGACAGGGTTTCTCCATGTTGGTCAGGCTGGTCTCGAACTCCCAACCTCAAGCGATCCACCTGCCTCAGCCCCGCAATGTGCTGGGATTATAGGCGTGAGCCACCGCGCCCAGCTTTTGTTTTTTTTTTTAATCCTCTGTTCTAAGCAGAGGAACCTGCTTTGAAGGTTAAAAGGAAAGAACAGCACACTGATACGCTAATGCCAAATCCACTTTTGTACTGAGACCATTTAGGGCCCAATTTCAGGATTTCTGGGTGGAACACCTCCAACCTTGGTAAAGCTGCCCTTGGTGTACATTGCTATGAGAACGTGTTTAAAGATTCAACCTCGGCGGCTCACGCCTGTCATCCCAGCACTTTGGGAGGCCAAGGCGGGTGGTCACGAGGTCAGGAGATCGAGACCATCCTGGCTAACACGGTGAAACCCCGTCTCTACTAAAAAATACAAAAAACTAGCCGGGCGAGGTGGCGGGCGCCTGTAGTCTCAGCTACTCGGGAGGCTGAGGCAGGAGAATGGCGTGAACCCGGGAGGCGGAGCTTGCAGTGAGCTGAGATCCAGCCACTGCACTCCAGCCTGGGCGACAGAGCGAGACTCTGTCTGAAAAAAAAAGGTTCAACCTAAGGCTATGAATGGTGAGTGGGCCGATACCCAAGACACAGAGACATTCTGTTTGGTCAGAGCGAGGGAAAAGGGCTGCAGAGTTAGGTCAGAGGTCAGCCCTAAGATGGTCACTCTAAAATGAACACTGCTGTGTAAACCTGTGGTCAATACCAGATGAAAACTTTGAGGCCGAGTGTGGTGGCCCACGCCTGTAATCCCAGCTACTCAGGAGGCTGAGGCGGGAGAATCACGTGAACCCGGGAGGCGGAGGTTGCAGTGAGCCGAGATCGCACCACTACCTGGGCGACAAGAGTTCAACTCCGTCTCAAAGGAAAAAACACTTGGAGATTTGCCTCTTGTTCTCAGGATCCTGGAGTCTATACTGTCTTTTATAACTTTTTTCTCACATTCTGCTTTGCAGCGTGTTTGTGACAGTGTCTTACTGTTCTGGACTGTAAGATCCTTGATGACAGAAATGATCTTATATTCCTCACGGTGTGTGAGTGGGCCCTCAATGAACATTTGCCTCCCGAATCAGTGAACTAACTCCTCTTACCTCCCTTGGCTCAGGTTTGCAGTACCCGAAGCCCTGAGCGCAATCCAGAAGGCTGAGGAGGTTCTGTCGCTGCACTGTGGCCCGTGGGACGATGAAATCCAGGAGCTCCAGAAGATGAAATCCTGTTTATTGGACTTACCACCCACCCTTGTAAGGTCTTCAGTTTAGGGTCCCAAGGGGATTTTGACCCACAGGAAAGGAGCCCGTGGAACACAAGGTAAAGAGGTTATGGCCGGGCGCGGCAGCTCACACCTGTCATCCCAGCACTTTGGGAGGCCAAGGCGGGCGGATCATGAGGTCAGGAGATCAAGACCATCCTGGCTAACACGGTGAAACCCCGTCTCTACTGAAAATACAAAAAATTAGCCAGGCGAGGTGGCGGGCGCCTGTAGTCCCAGCTACTCGGGAGGCTGAGGCAGGAGAATGGCGTGAACCCGGGAGGCGGAGCTTGCAGAGAGCCGAGATCGCGCCACTCTACTCCAGCCTGGGCAACAGAGTGAGACTCCGTCTAAAAAATAAAAAATAAAGAGGTTTTGTTTGCCAGCCGGGCACGGCGGCTCACGGCTGCAATCCCGACACTTTGGGAGGCTGAGGGGGGCAGATCACAAGGTCAGGAGTTCGAGACCAGACTGGCCAACATGGTGAAACGCCGTCTTTACTAAAAACACAAAAACTAGCTGGGCGTGGTGGCAGGTACCCATAATCCCAGCTACTCGAGAGGCTGAGGCAGGAGAATCTCTTGAACCCAGGAGGCGGAGGTTGCGGTGAGCTGAGATCGCTCCACTGCATTCCAGCCCGACGACAGTGTGAGACTCCATCTCAAAAAAAAAAATAAGAGGTTCTGTTGCAGGGTGTGGGTTCTGTGGATCAGGTGCGGGTTCTGCGGACCAGGTGTGGGTTCTGTGTAGGTTCTGCAGGCCCGGTGTAGAAGCTTACATCTGTGATCCCAGTACTGTGAGAGGCTGAGGTGGGAGGCTCACGCCTGTAATCCTAGTACGTTGAGTTGGCCGGGTGTGGATGCTCACGCCTGTAATCCCAGTACTTTGAGACACTGAGGTGGGAGGATCGCTTGAGCCCAGGAGTTCAAAACCAGCCTGGGCAATATAGTGAGACCGTATCGCTACAAAAAAAATTTTTTTAATTCACCAAGCATGGTGGCACATGCCTGTAGTCCCACCTACTCGAGAAGCTGAGATAGGATCACCTGAGCCTGGCAGACTGAGGCCGCAGTGAGCCAAGATCGCACTATTGCACTCCAGCCTGCGTGACAGGGTAAGACCCTATCTCAAAAAAAAAAAAACTAAACTAAACAGGTTCTGTTGCTGCTGAGCTTTCAACAGGAGACGGGACTTTCCCAACAGTCCCAAGCCTGGGATACGAGGGCTGGGGGGACTCAGAAACCATTGCAGTCAGAGAGACATGTATTTTGGTGGATATTTCTTGAAATGGTTAAGTGGCCTCCAATACAAACTCCCAGTTCCCAGAAAAGACTTAAAACTAGTATCTGGAGAGTCCAAGTCCTTTAAAAGGATTTTAGCTGATCTGCAGGCATCTGGAGGTTAGCCTGGGGTTTTGGCTGGATTCCACCTCACTCGATGATGATAGTCTGTTTCCCTGGAACATTCCTGTGGTTTTAGTAGTAATGAGATGTGTGCACCACTCCAGTGGGAGCTGAAACTCTTAGTAGTTACACTGTAATTGAAAAATAATTGTAAAACAAGGAATCAGTAAGGCGACTTACCTCCAGAGACACTGGGTTCCACTTACGGCATCTAGCTTCCCCGAATCCTTTGTGAAAATCGGTGGAGTATAAATTGTGACTAGAGAAGTGAATATGGAGTCATTGTATTGAGCAGTTTCCTCCAGGGATGGCGGCTCTCAGTGTGTTTCCTGCCAGTTTTCCAGTCCTTATTCTCTGCCCTTCATTCTGTACTCTTGGCAGAGTCACTAACCAAACACTAATAAAATCAAACTTGTAGTAAAGACTTTATAACACATATCCCTCTTTCTAAGTTGTTGTTGTTGTTGTTGTGTTTTTTTTTGTTTTTTGAGACAGAGTCTAGCTCTGTCGCCCAGGCTGGAGTACAGTGGCCGGATCTCAGCTCACTGCAAGCTCCGCCCCCCAGGTTCACACCATTCTCCTGCCCCAGCCTCCCGAGTAGCTGGGACTACAGGCGCCGCCACCTCGCCCAGCTAGTTTTTTGTATTTTTTAGTAGAGACGGGGTTTCACCGTGTTAGCCAGGATGGTCTCGATCTCCTGACCTCGTGATCCGCCCGTCTCGGCCTCCCAAAGTGCTGGGATTACAGGTTTGAGCCACCGCGCCCAGCCTATTGTTTTTGAGACAGAGTTTCGCTCTTGTTGCCCAGGCTGGAGTGCAATGGCGTAATCTCGGTTCACCGCAACCTCCGCCTCCCAGGTTCAAGCATTTCTCCTGCTTCAGCCTCCCAAATAGCTGGTATTACAGGCATGCACCACCACACCTGGCTAATTTTGTATTTTTTAGTAGAGACAGGGTTTCTCCATGTTTGCCAGGCTGGTCTCGAACTTCCAACCTCAGGTGATTCAGCCTCTCAAAGTGCTGGGATTACAGGTGTGAGCCCAGCCCCTTTTTTTTTTTTTTGAGACAGAGTCTCTGTCACCCAGGCTGGAGTACAGTGGCACAATCTTGGCTCACTGCAAACTCCACCTCCCAGGTTCAAATGATTCTCCTGCCTCAGCCTCCCTAGCAGCAGGGATTACAGGCATGCGCCACCACACCCAGCTAATCTTGTATTTTTAGTAAAGACGGGGTTTCTCCATGTTGGCCGGGCTGGTCTTGAGCTCCCGACCTCAGGTGTGTCATCCGCGTTGGCCTCCCACAGTGCTGGGATTCCAGGTGTGAGCCACCATGCCCGGCCCTGAGTTCTTCTCTTTGTTGTCAAACCTAAAGAGACTCCTTTTCTCTACCAGACCTCTCCAAGCTGGCGAGTCGAATACAGACTGTATGAGAACCGGGGGCGGCAGGGGATTCGTTGCTGTTTGTGGTTTAGATTTTAAGAGACCAAGGGTAGGGATGGCCGCTCCCTTCCACCAGGATGTGTAGCAAGAGTCCAACCCCATTCCAGTCAGAAGGGTACGGGGTTCCCTAGGTCGGAACCCTGGTTGCTGTGTTACCACTGGTGACCAAGTAGCTCAGGTGTATTCGTGGAAAAGAATGCCAGATCCACGCCGCTGCTCAGAGCTTCCCCACCCTGAGCGTGCCCAAGAAGTGCCCGTCAGTGGCCGTTGTATTATGATCAGGAAATCAGTAGCCCCAGAGATACCTGGCAATAGCTTTTTGGGAATCTGGAATACAATTAGCACTCAAACATCTGTAGAACGAAGGGCCCCAGAATATCATTTCTCCTCCTGTCTAATACTCTGTGGCAAGGGAGAGGACAGTGATTTTTTTGGTAGAGCTTTTTCAAGAAAAAAAAAAAAGTTTAGTCCTGTGGACAGTTCGGTAGTTATTCTACTTCAAACACTGGGCATGTTTCATGTTCCTCAAAAAGCCCAGTTGGCCAGGCGCGGTGGCTCAAGCCTGTAATCCCAGCACTTTGGGAGGCCGAGGCGGGCGGATCACGAGGTCAGGAGATCGAGACCATCCTGGCTGACACGGTGAAACCCCGTCTCTACTAAAAAATACAAAAAAAACTAGCCGGGCGAGGTGGCGGGCGCCTGTAGTCCCAGCTACTGGGGAGGCTGAGGCAGGAGAATTGCGTGAACCCGGGAGGCGGAGCCTGCAGTGAGCTGAGATCCGGCCACTGCACTCCAGCCTGGGCGGCAGAGCGAGACTCCGTCTCAAAAAAAAAAAAAAAAAAAGCCCAGTTATACTTTGGGTTTTTTGTTGTTGTTTTTTGAGATGGAGGTTCACTCTTGTCACCCAGGCTGGCGTGCAATGGCATGATCTTGGCTCACTGCAACCTCCACCTCCCAGGTTCAAGCGATTCTCCTGCCTCAGCCTCCCGACTAGCTGGGATTATGGGCATGCGCCACCACACCCTGCTAATTTTGTATTTTTAGTAGAGACGGGGTTTGTCCATGTTGATCAGGTTGGTCTCGAACTCCCAACCTCAGGTGACCCGCCCGCCTCGGCCTCCCAAAATGCTGGGATTACAGCCGTGAGCCACCGCACCCGGCTGTACTTTGTAAAATAGGCATACCTCCTTACAAAGAATATGTTTAGAATCTTTACATATCGGGTCTATTTACTGTGTCCTTGAAAGCTTTCTTTAAATGATTTATAAAATAACAGTTTCCTTAAGTTACAGATGGCCTCTCTCATCTCTCCGTGTGTTGTTTACAAGCGTGCTTCAGTGATTATGGGGGCAGGAAATGGCCTCCCGGGAGGATCACAGATCCTAGTACTGAAACACCCCCAGAGCAGAGCTGTCCCTGCATTATCCAACACAGGTACCTTAAAGTTCTTATAAACGGTGACTTTCTGCAGCGTTTAGATAAAACCAGGCTAGAAGCAGAGGACCACCTCCTAAAGAGCAGTTTCTCTTCATATGATACTTAGCATAGCTCAAAATAGGAGGAGGAACAAAGTAGCAAGTTAAGGATAAAGCTCTTTTATTGTATGCATTGAAACCTTACGGGAGCAGCTTTGTGTCCTGTGGAATCTGCTGTCCCTCTAGGGTTCCCTTCTAGGGCACTGGAATGTTAAACAGGGTATTAGGTGCCTCTGGGGTCCAGAATCTTGCCAATGAAGAGAAGGGCCCCTGTGTCCGTGTCCCTCAGGACGAAGATGAAAGGCTGGTTAAGGTGATAGTCCAGCAGGAAGGTGAGGTGCGCAGGCTGCAGCCCCGGGCTGGGGGTGGCTCCCGCCCCATCCTCGTTCCACTCGAAGCCGGCCCGGTGTTCCACTTGAGTCAGCTTGATGGGTTTGCCTGTGATCTTGCTAAAGTCTGGTGAATCAAACAAAGACTGCAGCTCTGTAGAGATGGAGAGAGATTTCCGTTAAAACCCTGCCTTCCCCGACACCCCGACCAAGGGATCCAGTTGCAAGCAAGCTGGGATGGCGCGCCACTGCTGACTTTCTGGGACGCCTCAAGAGCTCCGAGCTGGCCGAGCGTGGAGCGACTTGCCCAGGAGCACTTGGCAAGTTAGGTCAAGATGAGAAAACAGGTCAGACAGACTCGTCTTGAGAGGCAGTGTCATGAGCGCCTGTGAAGGAGGTCTGCTCGTGAGGCTGAGGAATGAGCCTGATGAGAGAAGGCAGGCAGCACGAGGATTAAGGAATCATGCACGGCCCCTGCAAGGCCGTGGAGCCCTGAGTTCTGCTCAGCAAGGTGGAAGTCCCGAAGACCCCGGCCCGCCCCACCCACCAAAAGCAAAAGGGTCTCCAGACGTACTCGTCTCCTGCAGCGACTTGGTGACTTCGCCTTCGTAACTCAGCTTCAGCTTGGGGAGGGTCAGCACCGCCTGCACCGTCTTCAGTTCCCGGTCTATGTCGTGAATGAACTCGGAGGTGAGGCTCTCCTCTATCAGGGTCAAATTCTGGGTCACTTTGAGGGGCAGGAAGAAGATGATACTCATGCTTCCGGTCAAAGGCAGCTGGGCAATCTGAGACAGGTGAGAAAGCACGTGGGTTAGTCCTTTAGAGGCCAGAAGCCGGGGACAGACACAGCCGGGAGCTGTCTTCCTCTCCCGTGGCGGGGCCCTGGCCTCGTCCTTCCCCCAGCCCCTCAGCTATTTAACAATCCCCCTCTAGGTTCGAGCTTTCTGGCAGCAAGCCATTGCCTGAGATTTCTTCAGAAAGGAGGCTGTTGGCCTTTCTTACCTTGGCCTAATACCAACTGAAGTTATCTGCTGAAAGAATGTTCTCCTGTGGTTTAAGGAGCTAGAATTGAATTTCAGGTCTTTATTTTCTCCCAAAGTCTATCTGCCAACATTGACTGATCATTTGTTAGGTAGAGAGCGCTAGACTAAGACAGGGAGAACCGGGGATAGGAATACCGAAGGGGCCGTAAGAGGGCTTGGAGGCTCCACCCCATCTACCCACGAAGAGCAAAAGCATCCTTTGAACAGAGGCTCTCAACCTACAGTCCATGGAACAGATGGTGTCAGGGTCCCAAGAGTCTCCTGCAATCGTTGATAGAAACGTGTGTGTACACCTGGCAGTGCTCTCCCGGGTTTCAGAAATGTGTGTGTGTACACCTGGCAGTGTTCTCCCGGGTTTCAGAAATGTGTGTGTACACCTGGCAGTGCTCTCCCTGGTTTGAGGCACTGTCGTCAGATTCCCAGAGATCCCATGTGATGGCCATGACCCAACAAAGGTTAACAGTTACAGACTTACAACTAAAAGAAGTCAGGTACACGGAAAGCCTTAGAATGCCAACGATTGGCTGAGCGCGGTGGCTCACGCCTGGAATCCCAGCACTTTAGGAGGCCGAGGCGGGCGAATCACCTGAGGTCAGGAGTTCGAGACCAGCCTGGGCAACATGGTGAAACCCTGTCTCTACTAAAAATACAAAATTAGCCAGGCGTGCTGGCAGGTGCCTATAATCCCAGCTACTAGGGAGGCTGAGGCAGGAGAATTGCTTGAACTCGACAGGGCAGAGGTTGCGGTGAGCCAAGATCATGCCACTGCACTGCAGCCTGGGAGACAGAGCAAGACTGTCTCAAAAAAAAAAAAAAAAAGAATGCCAACAATTTGGAGTTTGTCATTATTTTTCAAAGTCTGGCTTTAAATTCTAGAAATAGGAGTCTGAAGGAAAGAAAGAGAACTAACATTTGGGCACCCAATCTGAGGGCCCGTTTCACATTACCTTACTCATCCTTCTAACAAACCCTGGGAGGATAAGTGTTGATAACAATCGCCTTCCCCATCTTAAGAAGAGGAAAGGCTCAGAGATGTTATTAACCTGCTCAAAGTCAAACAGCAGGCGAAACGTAGACAGCTGTCAGATCTCACAGGTCGTTTTATTCCCACTCCCCTGTTTTGCTTCTCTGTCCTCTCCCTCCACCCATCACC